GGAAAATGTATGTCAAATTCAGCATCTGAAGCAAGTCCATTAGTGTGCACCCTAAGATGTATCATCCATGCAAGTTTGTTCAACATAGAGCTCAAAGTTACTTGGAAATGAAACCTGTATAAAAAACTAACCTTTTCACTAATCCTGAAAATGTAGGTCAGATTCAGCTTCTGAAGCCAGCCTAGTAGAATGCACCCTTAGATGTACCATCCATGTAAGTTTGGTCATTATAGAGCTCAAAGTTACTTGGAAATGAATCCTGCACCATAAACTTTAACCTGTTTACTCATCCAGAAAATGTAGGTCAGATTCAGCATCCGAAGCAAGTCTGGTAGTATGCATCATAAGATGTACCATCCATGCAAGTTTAGTCATTATAGGGTTCATAGTACCTTGGAAATGAAACCTGCACCTAAAACTTTAACCTGTTCACTCCACCGGAAAATGTAGGTCAGATTCAGCATCCGAAGCAAGTCTAGTAGAATGCACCCTAAGATGTAGCATCCATGCAAGTTTGGTCATTATAGGGCTCGTAGTATCTTCGAAATGAAACCTGCACCAAAAACTTTAACCTATTCACTCAACCGGAAAATGTAGGTCAGATTCAGCATCCGAAGCAAGTCTGGTAGACTAAGTATACATCCTACGATGTACCATCCATGCAAGTTTGGTCAACATAGGGCTTATAGTTACTCGGAAATGAGACCTACACCAAAAACTGCACCAAAAATGTTAACCTGCTCCATAAACATTAACCTGGTCATTCCTTTGCTGAAATTGCAGCATCTGAAACTTTGACTGGTACAATGAAACAGACTAGAAACATCTTCCATGCACGTCTAATCAATATAGGACATAGAAATACTTAAAAAGAAAAATGCTCCAAAAAACTTAACCTTAACCCGGGAGGCCGACGCCGACACCGACGCCGAGGGTATCACATAAGCTCCCCCAACTTCGTTGAGGTGAGCTAAAAAGTAGGTCACCATGACCTACTTTTGTGTTAACATGATGTGAAGTCTTAAGATGCATCAGCTTACAAGATTTGATAATCCTAGTCTTTATAGTAAGCAAAATATAAACGTTTTTATCAATTGTAAATTTAGGTCAACTTTGAAGTGACCTTGAGACCACGCCCTTTGCCCCAGGGTCATGCCTTGAACAATTTTTAATCTTCAACATATCCTGATCCTTGTATGTAAGTTTGGTGAAAATCTGCCTGGTGGTTCTGGAGAAGAAGATTTTTTAGAAACCAGTACTTTTGGTTTTGTTTTCCTGATTATCTCCCTTTGTTTAAGGGTCCCAACCCTTATTTTAGTATAAATGGTAGCCCTTGGGCCAAGGATACCCTGTGACAAATTTGACACTGATTGGCCAAGGCGTTCTTGAGTTATGGCCCATTTTCTAAAAAGTTAATGCACACTGCACACCGCACGACGCACACCGCACAAATGGCCATAGCATTAGCTCTTTGAGCCTTTGGCTCAGAAGAGCTAACAATTCTAAGACTTTTTCTTTCTCATACTTACACTTATCCTTGCTAATATTAAATATTTTAAAACCACTGAATACGTTCTCCTTAATTTCTAAAGAAACCCATTGTCGTTTATCAATCAGTAAATACTGCTAAGCAAAGCACCTGTCCAGTTATTTTGAGTTCCTTTAATGACGTACATATCGATAATATCGTATGAAGTCTACCTCATCATAATTTTGATGATTATTTGTACAAATATAAACATAAAATGTTTGTCTCTCTATGTTGGGTACATGTATTACGTGCAGCTATTGCAGAAAAATAACTAAACCCATTTATGCTTGACTAACAACCGAAGAAGTTTGTTGTTTAAATAAATTGACCCTATTCTTTATTATTTCAATAGTAGATGTTTAATTAAGGAATGTTTATAAGTTTTGTGTGAGTTATTGGTGTGTGAATCACACAGACTTGTCACGTAGACATACTTCATGAAGCGTGCTAGCACTTCATGAAAAATATGCCTACGAGCAAGTCTGTGTGATTCAAACACCAATAATTCACACTAAACTCAAAAACATTCCTTATATTTATATTTTACATGTTTGGAAGCACAAAAATATACTCAATATTTGAATTTCCCGCTACCCTATATCGTTATACTTTTACTAACGTCTCTGTTGCATTATTGCGATGTCAAGTTAGCGCAGTTTTCTCCGTGTATTTTTCTACGCGTGAGTATACATGAAAATGGTATTCAAATCAATTTTTCAGTTGGCTTAATAGAAAAACAGTGAATGTAAAAATTTTAGTAGTTGAAAGACAAATGGGTATTGAACACTGGAACACTGGAGCGTAGGTTTAGCTCCCCCCCCCCCCCCACTTTCAAAAGGCACGTCACAGTTTGGGTCAAAAAATGGTAAGTGCTAGAGTTTGTAAAAAAAAATGATAGTGAAAGAAGTTCGATCCCCCCCCCCCCAAAATAGGATTTAGATTTTCTTTTCGTGTTTGGACAATGGACAAAAATCCCCCCTTTTTTTTGCTTGTCAAACTTTTTGTTTTGGTACGCCAATGTTGCGCATGACCGTAGGATCAAATGAAATTAAACCTCTCCCCAACCCTATCTTCTAAAATAATCCAACTAAAATTGCTTTGTAGGATGAAATATATAGAGATAATGAACGGTATACAAGATAAAAAGTCCATAAAACAAAACAAAGTAGGAGCAGAGCAAACACGGCCCTCCAAAACTTCATGGTTGGGATCAGGTGCCATGGAGGAGTTAGCATCCCCTGCCAACCGGTCGTGATGAACATCCACCGTTTGCTCCTTGTCACGATCAGGATAATGGATACTACGTTTTAGAAAATTAACTTTTTCTCTGAGTCCTACTCCCTCGATCTCCCCCATTCTATAGATACTAGGATATCATATTGTCTTTTTCTATTCAGAAATATAATAATTTTTCAAAAGTGCTAACTTCTGCGATTTTTGATTACTTAGTTAGTGATGATTTGTCTAAAATTGGAAAATATTATCCCATACTCCCTTACACACTGAAAGAAGCCCCCCCCCCCCCCCCCATTGAACTAGGATTTTCATTACTTTGAAAAATATTTCCTTCCTCATTTAATGGTGGAGTTTTTCAGATAACTTGATATTTTTTTTATCTCTTCCCCCTCCCTCACCTTTACTTTCAAGTACCGGTATATGGTGAGTTTTTCTAAGTGATTATTATAAAGTATAACGTTACAGATCAGTGGTACAAGAAATATTCTGTAGAAATATATATCCCTTAAAGCATCTTTTTGTGTACATTTTATGTATAATCCATAATAAGCAAATAATTTCAGAGTTGATTACGAAAAGGATTTAAAAAGTAAAGCTGTAAGCAGTGAAATGATGCAGAGAAAATAAAGCAGAAAAGCACTTAACCTTTGTTTCAACAGACATTTTATTTTATCAGCAATTAAAGTTAGTTAAGGAGGAATGCCAGACCAACTTTTTATTTTATAGATCTCTGAGTCAACCTTTTTAAACAATGGTTCCAGCATTGAAAGGCCGACATTATAGCTCTTAATTGTTTTACATGAATTTTTTTGTATTTTTTCAAAGAAAATAAAAATTATTTACATCCAAATTAGATGCTTTCTTGTAAAAGTTTTGCTGTAAATGAATGTATCACATAAAATATGTAAAGAAAAGCCTTATAGATATTAAAATTTTTTAAATAAAAAAATATTTACTGTATACAGGGAAATTTTCGCCCCTTTCACCCTACTAACAGGTGGGCGAATTTAAAACGGGGCGAATTAAAAGAACACAGTATAATTTGTTAAACAAAACAGTGCATGGGCGAATTTAAAACGGAGCAGAATTGTTTGCAAGACTGAAAGGGCGAAAATAAGACGGGGCGAAAATAACCCTGTATACAGTGTACAGTATGAAAATAAAACACATAATTTGTGAATATTTTTTAAACTTGTGGTTAAAATCTTCTTAAAACCAGTCACAACTGGGAAGAACATGTTCATTAATCATATTTTTAAAAGAAATTGAAACAAAATAGCCAAATTTTAAAGAAATTGATTTTTTTTTTAAATTTTGGCCAATCGCGATCAAAATTAAACCGATCCCAACCATAATTGTACAATTATTGGAAATAAATAACATTTCCCTAAGAACACTAGTCTGATTGGGTGTAATAAGGGTTAAAACATTATTGAACTTGACAATAAAATAGATTTCTTCATTGTAAATACATGAAGAGGCAATAAATTAGCACTTTATTCATTTTGTGTCAATTTTGATGGGGATCAGTTTAATTTTGATCGGGTTAGGAGCAAATATAAAAAAAAAATTAATTTCTCTAAAATTTCTCAATTTCGTTTCAATTTCTTTTTAAAATGATTGACAAACATGCTGTCTCAGTTGTGACTAGTTTTATGGTGTCTTTAACCATAGGTTTAAAAAATATTTACAAATAAAGTGGTTTATTTTCATAAAAAATTTTTTATAAAAAAAAAATAAAAAGTCTAACCTGCCTTTCTTAACATATTTTATTAGATATTCATATGATGCATTCATTTACAGCAAACTTTTAACTCGAAAACAACTTTTTTAGATGTAAATAATTTTTTCATTTTCTTTAAAAAAATACAAAAAAAATTCATATAAAATAATTAAGAGCTAATATCGGCCTTTCAGTGCTGAAACAATTGTTTAAAAAGGATGACTCAAAGATCTATAAAATAAAAAGTTGGTGTGGCATTCCACCGTAAATAAAACTTTAAGGTATTTCTCAATACTGTAATTAAAAGTAAGCAATTTTAATTTTTAGGTCAGCAAATTTACCCTCATTCAATTCATTTGAATCATCAGCTGTTTTGCCATTTGTATCGTTTCCTTTATCTAAGTTAGAATAAAATACTTTACATACAGTCTGTAATTGAACTACTTCTCTAATCAATTAACATTTATAAAGTGCAAATACACTCCAAATATACATGTATCTAGTTTTTACCTTTCTTCTTTGACTTCTCCTTGTTAATTGAAGCATACATCGGATTATTCCCTAAATAAAGATACACAGTAGGTTTTACAAAGTAATTATTAATAATTTAATAATTAATGTCTTCTTTTGGAATATTTCTTTTATCTATACCATTACCTAAATTGATTGAGGGCTCAAACTTGTCATTGTTATACCTTTAAAACTTTGTTCTTATACAAATCTATGCATAAAACAAGAGGCCCATGGGCACATTGCTCACCTGAGCACTGTGGCTAGGAAAAAGTAGAAATGTTTGAAATTGAAAAGTTTAAATCCAAAAGTAGTCCCATGACCAATCATGGCTTTGCTATTCTTGAGAAAATGATTTTTTTAAAAAATTTCCTATATATGACTATGTAAAACTTTGATTGGCCATTGTGGTTCTGCCCTACCCCCCGGGGGTCATGATTTAAACAAACTTGAATCTACACAACCTGAGGATGCTTCCATATAAATATGATCAATTATGGCTTTGCAATTCTTGAGAAAAAGATTTTAAAAGAATTTTCCTATATATTTCTATGTAAAACTTTGGTCGGCCATTGTGGCTCCGCCCTACCCCCGGGCGTCATGATTTGAACAAACTTTAATCTACACTACCTGAGGATGCTTCCATATAAATATGATCAATTACTGCTTTGTTATTCTTGAGAAGATTTTAAAAGAATTTTCCTATATAATTCTACGTAAACATTTGAGCCGCCATTTTGTCCCCGCCCTACCCCCTGGGGTCATGATTTGAACAAATTTGAATCTACACTACCTGAGGATGCATCCATATAAATATGATCAATTATGGATTTCCAATTCTTGAGAAGATTTTAAAAGAATTTTCCTATGTAAAACTTTGGTCGGCCATTTTGGCCCCTTCGTACCCCCGGGGGTCATGATTTGAACAAATTTGAATCTACACTACCTGAGGGTGCTTTCATATAGATATGATCAATAATGGCTTTGCAATTCTTGAGAAGATTTAAAAAGAATTTTCCTATATATTTCTATGTAAAACTTTGGTCGGCCATTTTGGCCCCGCCCTACCCCCAGGCATCATGATTTGAACAAATTTGAATCTACACTACCTGAGGATGCTTCCATATAAATATGATCTATTATGGCTTTGTTATTCTTGAGAAGATTTTAAAAGAATTTTCCTGTATATTTCTATGTAAAACTTTGGTTGGCCATTGTGGCTCCGCCCTACCCGTTGGCATCATGATTTGAACAAATTTGAATCTACACTACCTGAGGATGCTTCCATATAAATATGATCTATTATGGCTTTGTTATTCTTGAGAAGATTTTAAAAGAATTTTCCTGTATATTTCTATGTAAAACTTTGGTTGGCCATTGTGGCTCCGCCCTACCCGTTGGCATCATGATTTGAACAAACTTGAATCTACACTATCTGAGGATGCTTCCATATAAATATGATCAATTATGGCTTTGTTTTTCTTGAGAAGAAGATATTAAAAGAATTTTCCTACATATTTCTATACAAAACTTTGGTCTGCAATTTTGGCCCCGCCCTATCCCCAGGCGTCATGATTTGAACAAATTTGAATCTACACTACCTGAGGATGCTTCCATATAAATATGATCTATCATGGCTTTGTTATTCTTGAGAAGAAGATTTTAAAAGAATTTTCCTATATATTTCTATGTAAAACTTTGGTCGGCCATTGTGGCCCCGCCCTATCCCTGGGGTCATAATTCGAATAAACTTAAATCTACACACTACCTGAGGATGTTTCCCCATAAGTTTCATCTTTCCTGGCACAGTGGTTCTTGAGAAGAAGATTTTTAAAACATGTCACCAAATTTTCATTAATTCCCAATTATCTCCCCTTTAATGAGGGCATGGCCCTTCATTGGAACAAACTTAAATCTCCTTTACACTATCCTGTTGGTTTTGCTACTGCAATTAACACTGTTGATGCACAGATCCAGAGATGGGAACAACACCAACCCATGCCTGGTAGGTGAGCAAATAGGTTACATCAGTTGTGTACCCACCACCTGAATTTCCTCCAACACAGCATACTACTTTTGGATAATGGACTGTAAAAGTAATCATTACTCAATGCCTGACTTTAAAGCTAAACATCACAGCATTACGATCATGCTTATTATCAGTGGTATAGAGACAAACCCAGGCCCAAGATCAATTAAATATCCTTGTGGTATATGTAAAAAGGCTTGTCGATGGGGACAAAAGGCAATCACATGTGACAACTGTGATCAGTGGTTCCACTCATCATGCATGGGTATGTCATTATCTAGATATGAAACCCTTGCAAACACCTCTATCAGCTGGACTTGCGTATTATTAATGTAAACTTTCAGAGTATTAAAAACAAAGTTGCAGACCTAGAGACATTGATAGATTCAGCTAATCCAGATATTATTCTTGGAACAGAGACTTGGTTAACAGCTGACATGGCCTCATCTGAGTTTATTCCATGTGAGTACCAAGTATACAGACAGGATAGGCCTTCAGATCCGCATGGTGGTGTGTTGATAGCTGTCAGAAAGAATCTTACCAGCTCTGCAGTACACTGTGGGAAAGAAGCTGAGATGATCAGCATCAAGGTTGACCTCCTTAACAGCAAATCAGCAATCATCAGTGCTGCATACAGGCCACCAAACAGGGTTGATGATGATTATACATTCTCTCTAATCAACGATATCATCACTAAAATTCGGAATAAACACAAGAGTTCTTACTTCATACTTGGATGAGACTTCAATCTTCCTGATATAAAGTGGACATCTCGACAAATTACTGGTCGATCGGTCCCAACAAGAGTAACTGACCAGTACTGCAACATGCAGGATGACCTAGCCTTGGATCAGATTGTGGATTTTCCAATAAGAGATGACAAAACACTTGACCTCTTCTTTGTCTCCCACTTTTCCCTGGTAGAGAAGTGCAAACCTCTGCCAGCATTGGGCAAAAGTGACCATGACATTGTTATGATGGACACACTTATTACGCCTACCTTAGCCAAACCAGGTCAGAGGAAAATTTTCCTATGGAAGAGAGCGGACACACAAGCAATCCAGGAAAGCTTGAAGAACCTGGCAACCGAATCAGTGATAAATAATGACATCAATGTTTCATGGACCCAGTTTAAGAACTATGTTACAGACATGATACAGAAGCATGTACCAACCAAACTGAGTAGGAGTAGGCACTCCCAGCCATGGATCAACTCTTCAGTCCAGCGCCTGATCCGAGGTAAACAAAAGGCTTACTATAAGGCCAGATCCACCCAAAACCCAGAGGACTGGACTGGGTATTGGCACTTGAAGGCAATAGCTCAGAGGGAATTTAGAAGGGCTCACGACAGCTATATTGATGAGATCTTCTGCAGCGACCTCCACAGCAATCCAAAAAGATTCTGGTCTTATTTCAAGGGTAAAAGACAGGACTCACAAGGTACTGCACCTCTTAAAAAGGCTGATGGTTTGCTATACAGTGACAAGGAATCCAAGGCAGAGATACTCAACAACCAATTCCACTCTGTGTATACCAATAAAAATACCAGTAGCATGCCAGACAAGGGTCCCAGCCCCTACCCAGACAAGCATCGTATAAAAGTGTCACAAAATGGAGTCTACACCCTCCTGAAAAACATCAAAGTCAACAAAGCTACTGGCCCTGACGAGATACCAGCTAAGCTACTACATGACCACGCTGATCAATTTGCACCAATATTAACATCCATTTTCCAATCTTCTGTAGACACAGGACATCAGGCGGAATATGAGGGGATGTCAGACATCTGCAAGATCTGCATTATACCAGGGACTAGTTCGTCCAATCCTAGAATATGCCTGTGCGGCATGGGATCCCTGGAACTCCAAGCAAGTCCAACAGCTTGAGAAAGTGCAAAGAAGAGCAGCACGTTTTGCCACCAAAAACTACCACGATTACCAACCTGGCAGTGCTACCCAGATGCTTCAAGATCTACACTTGGAACCATTACAAACAAGAAGAATGAAGATAAGACTCATCCTGCTCTACAAAATCGAGCATGCCTTGGTGGCTATTCCTGCAGATATGTACCTGACATCCAGTGATAGAAGGACTAGAGGCAGCTACACGTACCGTCTACCACACACCCGGATTGATGCACATCGATATTCCTTCTTTCGGAGGACAATCCTAGACTGGAACAACTTACCATCTGTAGTTGCCTCAGCACCAACATTAGAGTCCTTCCGGACACAGCTGGACTCATATACGAGGTGCCAGCAGCCCACAAACACCAACTAAGTGTGCCAGTTTTTAACTTTTTATTGTACAGTTAATTCTCGATAAACCGCCACCTTTTGTAATTTAGAAATCATGGAGGTATAACGAATTTGGCGATGAATTGAATTTCCAATCTTTTAGGAAACAAGAAGAAGAGTTACCGTCCTTAGAAATACCATTTAGCATTTCTATTCTTATAATTACACACCGTTCACGGTAGCCTAGTGGTAGAGCGTTCGCTTCGTGATCGGGAGGCCCGGGTTCGATTCTCGTTCCCGGCGCCGCGTCAAACCTAAGACGTAAAAATAGGTAGCGACTGTTCCTTCGCCAAGCGCTCGGCATCAGAAGTGAAAGTCACGGGTCTTTCGGATATGACCTTAAAAACGTAGGTCCCGTGTCACGGTAGGCGCTGGCACGATAAAGAACCCTCACTGCTCAATGGCCCTGAGTGCCGAGTATAGGTCTAAATTTGAAGCCCTTCACCGGCATACGGTGACGTCTCCATATGAGTGAAAAATTCTCAAGAGGGACGTTAAACAATATACAATCAATCAATCTTATAATTACATGTACATGTATGAAACATATTTCTAAATTTAAAAATTCTTCAAGTAATTTTTTATGTACAATTTCGTTAAAACAAACTGTGCAGAAATAAAATAAACACAAGTACATGTGTATACATATAAATCTGTACGTCTGATATTGAAAAATAAACATGCTGGGTCGATCGTCATGATATATTGCTGACGGTACGTAAAATTATTTCTTGAATAAATTCAGTGTTAATGAAACATTCACAATTTATACCGTATAATTATTTGTCAAGCAAACTTTGCATTGTTTCTAGCAGAGATCATCAAAATAATATCGTATTTGGCGTACTTTAACAACAACCGCTTTCGTGGCGAAGCCGTGACTAAATGATTTTTATTAAATAGAAAACAAAATCTTTATAACAGTTCATATTAAAATTCTTGTTTATTTCACTCTTATTTAATTATTTAATTGCATGTACCTTGTCTGACTTTGCATGCTTTACAACAGGGATAGCGTCAACCAATTAGCCGCACTTCACTGACCGCATGCACCTGTGGCGGTATATCGAGATAATTGACACTTAAAAATGAATGTTTGTTGTGAAAACAGGGTGGCGGATGGCGGTATGCGAATTTGGCGTTATAAAGAGGATTTTATATAGCAGGAGAACCGTTCTTGGAAATCATGGCGGTATTGCGAAAATGGCAATGAATCGAATGGCGATAATTCGAGAATTGACTTACATAGTGCCCTGATCGGGTTTTTAGCCTTGTCAGTCGAGTGTGACAGTCCGAGTACAATGCTCTAGCTAGCGTAAACTCATATGGAAGAAGAAGAAGAAGAAGACAAAATGTGATCAGAAAAGCTCACTTGAGTTTTTGGCTCAGGTGAGCTAAAAAGTAAGAGATGACACTTAAACACTATTAAACATTTATAAGCATTAGGGATGTCAAATCGGTCAATTTTTAATACTCGGTTACTCGGACGTTTTTCCGATCGAGTACCCGGGTACTCGGTAAAAGTGTAAATAAATATGAACAAGTAAATTGATGAATGTAAAACATTGTAAACACTTGTAGAAATAAAACCACATGCACATGCTCAGATAGGAGGTTTACACTAAAAATTGTTGCATTTCTGTTGTAACAATGATTAGAACTTCGTGCCCGACGAAATTTATTTAAGTTCAATTTATTTATCAAATAAACACAAGAAATAAAATCGAAAGTGGTTCATGGTGTTTTTGTTTTAAAAAAAATAATCTACTACGTAATTGTAATGTAACTCTTTGTTGCATTTGGCGTCAAGGTATATATCAGTCGTACAGTTTGACTTGAACTTGACCAAGTTCTAACATAGCCGATTTACGATTTTCGTATACTTTTCTATCCTAGATTTTATAGTATCACGGGACGGTATTTTGTAGTTTGGTGCAACGATGGACATCATTTTTGTGAAGCCTTTGCCGTCAACTATTTGTACATGTATTGGCATGTAATCAAACACAACCATATCAACAGTCGCGCGTGTAATATCATCTGTCTCTATTCCCGAGAATTTAAGGCTTCTCGGATAAATGACAAAATTGCCTAATTTATTTAATCATAACAGACCTTAAAAGATGTTCAGTGAAAACAAATAATTAAAGAAAATCAAAAAATAAGGGTAGAAGATAGCCGAAGGTGAGAAAAGCCAGGTAACAGGTGCTTGGTCACGATAATTACTGTATAAACACTGCCACGGGCGATAACGGTCATTTAGAGGAGTAGGAACCCCTAATTACTGTATGTACAAGTGCAATGAGTATTTTACGTTTTAAAACAGATTGTTTAATGCATTAATAAATAAACTTAGAAATATTCAAAAATATACATCCGAGTAACCGAGTACCGATTTTAGTATTTGATACTCGGACGTTCGATCGAGTACCCGGTTAACCGGGTACTCGTTGACATCCCTAATAAGCATACAAAAACATAGGTAATCAGAGATTACAGAGCTCACCTCAACGAATGTTGCCTTTAAGTAAGGCAAAGTCACACAATTACCCAACAAAAAGTGTACATCCAAAACTGCAACATTTATGAAATTTTGATCTGATACTTTGAAATAGACCTATATAAAAACTTCAATCTAGTTCTTCATCACAAAAATGTGATCAAATCCAGCATCTGAAGCAAGTTTAAGAGTTTTCATCCCTTGATGCATCATTTGGGCAAGTTTGGTTTATTTAAGCCTTATAGTTTCTTGGTGATAGACCTGCACCCATAACTTTTTACGTGGTCCATTATCTGGTAAATGTATGTCGAATTCAGCATCCGGAGCAAGTCCATTAGTATGCATCCTAAGATGTATCATCCATGCGAGTTTGCACAATATAGGGCTAATAATTAATTAGAAATGAAACCTGCTTAAAAATTTAATCTCCTCATTCATCCAGAAAAAAATGTAGTTCAGATTCAGCATCTGAAGCCAGCCTGGTAGAATGCAACTCAGGGCTCTCGATTCTCTAAATCTGGGGCCGATATTCGGCCCCATTCCCAATGCAAAAAAGAACCTTTTTTCCCAAAAGAAAGGTGTAAATTTCCCAATTTCCAAAGAAAATATAAATATTAAAAAATAAAAGTCCATGAAACTTAATCACAAAAAGAAACCAAACAAAACACACTTGCAAATGAAAGTGAAACCGTACTACTATTTTATTAGTTCACGCCAAATGCATTTGTAAACTGGTTCTGGGGAACCAAGTTATTGTTTTTTACAAAAATGTGTACTAACTATGAGTGCAGAGTATCTTGTCATGTAGTTTCGACAAAAAACATCATTTTGGTTTAAAAAATAGATATTTCATTTAAACATTAGTAAGCTGCACCTAGAAATATACCCACGCTTCCGCATGTTCAGTGTCGCGCAGTATAGGTAAGCAAAGTTGTCCATGTGATCGAGGAAATTTGGGACTATGTGACTAGCGACTATCACTCAGAAAGACAGATAACCGCAATATCAACATACTTTCATAAATAGCCTACGTACCCATGTTTGTTCTGTTTAACTATTTATTCAAAACCAGTTAAATTGATGACAAAATGTTAGAACAGCAAAATTTGAGGATTTTTTTATTGAATTTTGGTTATCCAACTTTTCCCAATTTTAACGGCCCCGTCTCCAGTCCCAAAAAGTGGTGTGAGAGCCCTGCAACTTTAGATGTATCATCCATGCAAGTTTGGTCATTAAAGAGCTCATAGTTACTTGGAAATGAATCCTGCATCAAAAACTTGAACCTGTTCATTCATCCAGAAAATGTAGGTCAGATTCAGCATCCGAAGCAAGTCTGGTAGTATGCATCCTAAGATGTATCATCCACGCAAGTTTAGCCATTATAGGCTCATTGTAACTTGGAAATGAATCCTGCCCCAAAAACTTTAACCTGTTCACTCATCCAGAAAATGTAGGTCAGATTCAGCATCCGAAGCAAGTCTGGTAGTATGCATCCTAAGATGTACCATCCATGCAAGTTTGGTCAACATAGGGCTTATAGTTACTTGGAAAAACATTAACCTGTTCACTCAACCAGAAAATGTAGGTCAGATTCAGCATCCGAAGCAATTCTGGTAGTGTACATCCATAGATGTATCATCCATGCAAGTTTGGTCAACATAGGGCTTATAGTTACTTGGAAATGAGACCTGCACCAAAAACATTAACCTGTTCACTCAACCGGAAAATGTAGGTCAGATTCAGCATCCGAAGCAAGCCTGGTTATGTGCATCCTTAGATGTACCATCCATGCAAGTTTGGTCAACATAGGGCTTATAGTTCCTTGGACATGAGACCTACACCAAAAACTGCACCAAAAATGTTAACCTGCTCCAAAAACATTAACCTGGTCATTCCTTTGCTGAAATTGCAGCATCTGAAACTTTGACTGGTACAGTGAAACACATTAGAAGCATCTTTCATGCATGTCTAATCAATATAGGACATAGAAGTACTTAAAAAGAAAACTGCTCCAAAAAACTTAACCTGGGACGCTGACGCTGACGCCGAGGGTATTACATAAGCTCCCCCAACTTCGTTGAGGTGAGCTAAAAATCACATGGCTCTGAATGTCATCTTTGCACATTAAAAACTTTTTTATCATAAATTAAAAACATTTTTTTTCCAATCTTCATCTTTACTCTTAAGGGTAGATATTTACCTGGAAGTAAAGGATTTACAAACTCTTCTACTCCATTCTCCTCATCTATGTAAGAAAGAATAGAAATCAGTCCTTATTCCGAAAAGTTAATGAACAAATTGCAATTTAATATAAATTCTTTGAAGACAAACATCCTACTGGTGTCTCAATTCTTTTTGGAAATAAAGTATTTGGATAGACTTAGAGATTGTATGTAACCGTCTTTGGAGCAATCTCAAGTTTGTTTTATTTTTTGCATTATGCACTAATTTTATACATTCAAACTATGTCTTTGTGTTAAGTAAATCAATTTTATTCATTTCCTACACTGTATGTTTCAAAACTGCAGCTTCAAGTCATCTGACCTCTTCTCAATGAATATAGCTTAATGAACAACTGCAAATATCTAGGAAAATTTATGATACACTGTCATTTAATATTCATTGGGAAAACATATTAATTTTGTGATACTGTACTTTGCACTAATGAAATATCAAAATTAAGCTTGTTGTCCCACTTGTGAAATGAAGTTCATATCCTTGCAACCACAAAACATTGAGTATCCTGTATATTATATACATTTGTAAATTAAAGTGTAACATTTGGTCTAGAAGTTTATGCAACCCTTACTTTAAAAGCTACTTTAAATTCTATAAAGGAAGGGTTTGCTTTTGACCAATGTTCCATGTGGTCAAAACCAATTAAAATAATTAGGACTAATAATAATTGCTTGTAAGCATCATTTAAATGTATGAATTAAGGTCTTCCGTTTCCAACGGAAGACCTTCTACTGATTCTGATGATTAAGATTATTAAGGTCTTCCGTCTTCACGGAAGACCTTATAGTGATTCTATTGTTTCTTATTAAGGTCTTCCGTCTTCACGGAAGACCTTATAGTGATTCTATTGCTTCTTATTAAGGTCTTCCGTCTTCACGGAAGACCTTATAGCGATTCTATTGTTTCTTATTATTATTATTTTTCTGACCATCTAATTTTGTGCACGCGATTTCTCGAAGACTACTTGGTGGATTTTCACGAAATTCTCAGAAATAATGTGTTGTAATCTGAAGTTATTTTGTCCGAGAGATTTTTTTGAAATTCGCTTCCGGTGCCAAGTTACAGACCTTTTCCTGAATTTAAAATGACATTTTGTCTGCGGTTAATCTTAAGAACGGTAAAAGATATTAATGTGAAACTTTCAGGGATTATAGATCATGATATTCACTATCCAGGACGCGACCTTTCGTTCGTCGTCAGTACTTTCTGTTGTTTCCAGATGAAAATTTAAAAAGTCGAATTTTTTAACTTTTTTGTTTTTCAATATTTTTGAATTATTTCAATAAGTTTAATAGAAATCCTTCTAATTAGGCTTTATATATAATTTGTTTATAAATTGATACATCCAAACTCTAGATATTAACTTTTGAAAATTCGAAGCGTATCCAAAATGGCGTCTGTCTCTGTCAACTCCGACATTTAGCGCGTAGGGGGTTATGGAGTCAGCTGAGCGTTTGGTTGAACGAAACTAACATAAGGATAAATGAAATGTAAAAGGGGTACTTTGATTGTCACGTCGTAGTTACGTTGCAATTCTGTTTTAACTAAAGTTTTAATTCGAGGTCTTATCAAATTTGTTTTATCTGGTTCTCAAAGTAGAAAAAGACGAGACTACATGTACAAATGAAATACTATATCTACAACCTTTTGTTCTGCATCATGGAACAACAGATCTTGAATCACGATTAATATATATATATGTAAGCATAAGTTTATCAAGAAACAATATATTCAGTGAGTATGAAACGTGGCCACTGTTTTCCCATGCAAACTAATAGAAAAGAATAAAATAAGTAAACCATTTTTTCAAAAGATCGTTTAATGAAGTTTATGTAAACATTTGTTTTCTAATAGATCTAATTCAAGTTATTGAATATAAATGGTATCCTAATTCTTGACTGTCGTTGGGTGAGGCACGTTTTTCAGTTTCAGTTTTTAATGAATGTGTAACTAATTGGGAAATTGAAAGTTAAAGAATCATAGCCATATTCCACTGCTTTCGTATTACTTGCGTATAAACGATATGTCTTATGTCTCGTACATTGAACATATTCAATGACTTTTAAAACTCAGAATTTAAGCTATTAGAACGTTCCTAATTTCATTGAAGCTATCACACCTGTTTAATAGAACTTTTTCAAAGAAAAGGCGTGAAGATTTTGGCGCGAAATTATGAATAAATATCAGCCTTTCACAATTTCAAGAGATATATACTGTTGCAGAAATATTTACAAATAAATTTAGAAGTGTGGTCCCAATATAGTAAAGGTAAGCGCGTTGGAAATACTTGCTGGTAACCCTGGTTCAATCACCCATCAGCACGAGTTTTTCAAATTACTTTTTCAGCTCGATTTTACAGATTTTTTTTCAGGATCGGACGGAAGACCTCTCGTTGCTCGCAACGAGATCGTTTCTAGTTATTATTATTATTATTATTATTATTATTCTTTTTTTTTTAGACAAAATTTTGTGCAGGCGATTTCTCGTAAACTATTCAGTGGATTTCAATGAAAATTTCAGGAATTATAGGTCATAATATGAATTTAAAACAAAATTCCGTTTTTTGGAAAATTCGCTACCAGTGCCAAGTTATGGGCAATTTCCTGATTTTAAAATGCAATTTTGTCTTCGAATGTTCTCGAAAACGGCTCAAGATATTAACTGGAGACTTGTTAGAGATGATAGACCATGAGTTATAGATGAGCAATTTTTACTTCGTTTGCGTCGTCAGTACTTCCAGTCGCTACAGGAAGTGAATTCAAAATGTGCACTTTTCCAACTTTTTTTGTTTTTCAATATTTTTCTTTGATATAATAAATGGTAATTAAGACCCTACTGGAAAGGCCTAATATATAATTTATTTAAGAATTGATCAATCCACACACTAGATATTCGCATTTTAAAATCTGAAGCGTGTCCAAGATGGCGGCGGTCTCCCTAATCTCCGCCATTAAGCAAGTCGGGTTCTAGAAGGTCAGCTGAGCGTTTAGATGAACGGAACTTCTACCAAAAAGATTTATAAAATGTAAAGGGTTCTTTAGATTGCTACATCGCAATTACGTTGCAATGAGTATAGTTTTAATATGAGGTTTCCTCAAACGTCTATTGAAATTGTTTTTGTCTGCATCTCAAAGTAAAATACAACATGACTACAAGTGGAAATACGATGACTACAATCTTTTGTTTTGCACCAGGGAAAACTTATCCTAAAACATGGTTATAAGTAATAGCTTTTCAAGAAACTTGCCTGACTTAATATTCACTATGTTTCTGAAGTATTACTTGACTTCTGTTTATTTTTCCATGCAGGCTTGTGACATATTAAATGAATACAAAAGACAAAAATATGAAAAACATTTTTTAAAAGATTGTTTATTAAAGGTTATATAAATATTCTTGTAATAAATGCAAGGTATTGAACATAAATAGTATCAGATTCCTTGACCGTCGGAGGGCGAGTGATTTTTTTTTTCAGTGAAAGATTCCAGTCTTTTCATGAACGTGTAACTCATCTCCACTTTGGGGGTAAACAGGATACAAAATTCGTGGAAAATCTTACCGAATTCACAGCTTTTGTGTTACTTGGCCGTATACGATATTATATTTGTATAATGTGATAAACATACTTTCTAACGCTCGAAATTCCGGTTATAAGAACATACATTTCTAATTTTCATTGAAGCTATCACATCCATAAAATAGATCAAACATTTCAAAGGAATAGCGTTAAGAACTACTTGAGACGTTTGGCACGAAATAATGTATCATGACCCGACTTAAGTAGTAGACAAATGGCGACAAAAGTGCAGAAATATATAACATTGGCATGCCTGTATATGGAGTTGCATGGAATAAAAAGTTGAATACATATCAAAACAAGAGGCCCATGATCCACATCGCTCACCCGAGCACAAAGGGTAGGAAAAAGTAGAAAATGGCTTTTTATTGTAAAGTTTAAATCCAAATGTAGTCCCATGACCAATCATGGATTTGCTATTTTTTAGAAAATGATATTTAAAGAATTTTCCTACATATATCTTTAAAAACTTTGGTCAGCCATTTTGGCCCCGCCCTACCCCTGGGGGTCATGATTTGAACAAATTTGAATCTACACTACTTGAGCATGCTTCCATATAAATATGATGAATTATGGCTTTGTCATTCTTGAGAAGATTTTTAAAGAATTTTCCTATATATTTCTATGTAAAATTTTGGTCGGCCATTTTGGCCCCGCCCTATCCCCGGGGGTCATGATTTGAACAAACTTGAATCTACACTACCTGAGCATGCTTCCATATAAATATAATGAATTATGGCTTTGGCATTCTTGAGAAGAAATTTTATAAAGAATTTTCCTATACATTTCTATGTAAAACTTTGGTCGGCCATTTTGGCCCCGCCCTACCCCCGGGGGTCATGATTTGAACAAACTTGAATCTACACTACCTGAGCATGCTTCCATATAAATATATTGAATTATGGCTTTGTTATTCTTGAGAAGAAGATTTTTAAAGAATTTTCCTATATATTTCTATGTAAAACTTTGGTCGGCCATTTTGGCCCCGCCCTACCCCCGGGGGTCATGATTTGAACAAACTTGAATCTACACTACCTGAACATGCTTTCAAATAAATATGATGAATAATGGCTATGTCGTTCTTGAGAAGAAGATTTTTAAAGAATTTTCCCATATATACCTTTAAAAACCTTGGTCGGCCATTTTGGCCCCGCCCTACCCCCGGGGGTCATGATTTGAACAAACTTGAATCTACACTACCTGAGCATGCTTCCATATAGATATGAAGAATTATGGCTTTGTCATTCTTGAGAAGAAGATTTTTAAAGAATTTTCCTATATTTCTATGTAAAACTTTGGTTGGCCATTTTGGCCCCGCCCTACCCCCGGGGGTCATGATTTGAACAAACTTGAATCTACACTACCTGAACATGCTTTCATATAAATATGATGAATAATGGCTTTGTCATTCTTGAGAAGAAATTTT